CCATAATGACCCATCCTAGCATGTCCTGCAACCCGAAATAACCCGAATGTTATGATCTGATCTAACTTGTTTGCCACTAAATGCATAAGATGATTTTTTGGCTTCTAGCCTGTTTTGACATTCGTTTTATCGAGTAATCAATATTCAATAGTATGCATCATCACCATAAAATATTGTATCAATGGTTGAGAAGGGGTTCCCAGAACTAGAATTCTTGAAGCCTTCTTGGGGAGGGGTATCAATGGTTGAGTCCCATTTTTCCCATTCTTCAACAGCACAAGTGATTTTCTCACTGCTTCCCTTTCCAAGTCTCGATGTGCCTGCATAAGGTACCTGAAAGTTCATCCGATAACATATTCTTGTTCAAAGTAATAATATGGAAATGTAGGAACTCCGTCAAAGGAGTAGAGGGGGGAAAACAGGTTCAATGATGGAAGAAAATTAAGCAAAATTCAACAGTGTATGATATCATTAGGATTAGAGGTTAACCTTAAACTTAGGGTACCCTTGAGGAAGCCCATTACTAGCTCTCGGTTAGCTTGCACCAGCACAAGACAAAAACATACAGCAGCACCAGAGGATACATGGACCACACAAGACAAAAACAACAACCAGATAGAAATATGAGAAGTTATGTTTCTATTGAATTAGCACCATGTAATCATTCCATGCACACATGGAACACATACAACGATATCAAGCCATTACTAATACTATTTAAACTTATCACTCAAAATTTATCCCATCAGATATATTTTTGATCTAGTGCTCCAAAACATTCCTTGGACTACCATTTACACTTCAGCTTCAAAACTATCTGGCATATCTTAACAAAAAGAAGGGGCATTGATATAGGATTACCGGCTAGCAAGTATATGATCATTGGTATTAGTTAGCTTATGGATCTGCAGGAATAAACGATGGCTCAACATAAATGTTCTACTCGGTGAAACTATAGTCTTCAATCAAACTATACCCTATAAACATATATATGCATTCACTTACTCACAGAGAGACAAGAAACTAACCTGTGATTCCATTTTACAGTGCAGATTCAGCAGCTAGGTTGTCCATCGTTTATCATGGTTATTCAGTTTATATACCTATTAATGATGAACTAAATCACAGTATAAGAGTCAAAATCTATATCAAAGTCCAGTACTACAACTATTCGATCAAATCAACTGAATCGTTTAGAATCATTTAGACAAGAGACATATTCAAAAGCGTAAGGAGATCGAATCTACTAGAGATTCAAAATCTATATCAAAGTCCAGTACTACAATCCCTAAAACACTATACTGCATGCAGCCACTGCGACTACAATCCCTAAGACAGTTGAAACTGTTACGTACACAACCTTCAACACATTGCGTACTCTACTCGCGGGAATATAGTACAAAAGCACGCAGCAGCGCGTATGCGACTGAATTCCCATAACCATAACCATAGTCTTGTTGGGCACAGTAGAAATAATGAATCATAGTGAGATGGATTGAAAATAGAGGAAATTGTTTCACTCTAATATTTATATATATATCTCACACAATTAGGCAATTATTGCCTTTACAAAGAGCTCACAACATGTATATGTTATTATATCTCTTCTGCTCGCTGATGCTTACATTGCCTCCAAAATTGAGGCTATTTATACAGCCATTATAAAAGACTCCAAAGCCAATAAGTGAAGGTGCTAGTGGCTATTTATTTTGCCACCTTATCTTAGCTTGTCTAGTAACCGATTGAACTTGTGGCCAATTCTTTTTTTCTTTTGTTTAATTAAATTATGGTGGCCGGTGGGTAGGTTTAGTATATGGATAGCTTTACTTTCAATTATTTTAATTTAATTATTGTAGGGTAGTTGGTTGATGGATGCTCATAATTGTAGGGTTCATAAAGTCTATAGGATTGATGTTGGAGCCCCACCATCACCATATCTAATTAACGACTAGCCCAATGCGCAGAAGTCGTAATAAGCTGTCTCGTACCTCACACAGCATTTCTCTAACAAGACAGTTCCTCCAGCTCGGCCTTGACACCCTTGTTCCAGGCGGGCGAAGCCTCGTCCGAAACAGTCACGGCAGTCTTCGCTAGGCGCGCCGTCGCAATTGAAATAGGCTGCCGCTGCGACCTGACTGCCATCTGCGGACACAAAACCCCTCTTGTAGCAACCCGTGATGTTGCCGGCATGAAATACTTTTACCGAAAAGCCACCGAATATGAAACGTTGACGGTAAGCTGACGGCGCGGGGAGCGGATCCAGGCTGCACCTCCCTGTGCTGTCACCTCCATCGCATGGGTGAGCGTTAAAGCAGCTCACCGCCGGCAGCAGGGAACAAAACATGGTGCAAATTATTGCTAGCAGAAGGGTAGTAGTAACCGTTACTGCTCCTGTTGACATCCTCTTCGCCATATATTCTTCAGTACTCCCACACTTGTCTTTTTTTGTTGGGATGGAGGTGTTTGATGACTGGATGGATGCGGTAAGGGGTCATGTATTGATCGCGTTATATAATCGACTTCAGCAGCTCGAGATTCACGATCGAGAGGCTACAGAGTTTGGCGCGCACATGCAGTTGGATTCGCATTGTTTTGTTCGACGATGAAGACAGAAACGAGAAGAGAGTGGAAGGATCAGTCTGCTTAGGAACGGGGCGTGCAGATGAATACAAAGAAGGCGGTTCAGTCAATGATGCATATATAGTTGATGCGATGTAAACACTGAAGACTAAACTGCTACAACATTTTGTCCAGTCTGGCCGGGCTATCTTTAAGCAAGAATATGGTTCTTAATAATTATGACTGGGACTGGAAGGGGACAAGGGGTAAAGGGATCTCGACCGGTCTAACTAGCTAGCCGGGTTCATTGAATTCCATATCCCATATATAACGTATTGGCGACCAACATTTCCTATACGTACGTAGATGGCCAGGCTCTTAGCTTTAATATTAGGAATATATGAAATGTCATTTACAACATTCATCATTGTGAATCATAATTAGGGATGACAATTTTGACCTGACCCGATTTATCCGACCTGTTTGACCTGTTTTGGGGCGGGTTAGGCGGGGCGGCGGGAATGGGTACCTCTCATCGACCCGACCTGCCCTGACCCGCCCCATTCTCGACCCGTTCTGGCCTAGGATACATGTAATCTTAGTCAAATTACTTAGGATTTTCCTCTTATTACATCATATTTTAGGTATAATAAAGTTGTAAATAAGTTAAAAACTCAATTTCTCCAATAATTTAACTACATTTTATCAAATTATGATTTCTTTCTTGGTCTTTTAATTAAAATAATGAGTAATTCTAATGTTTTCGCATAAATTATATACCCATTGAGTCGACCTGCCCCAACCCGCGCCCCATGATAAATTACCCGACCTGGATCCGACTTGCCACGGGGCGGGTATGAGTATCAAGATACCCGCCCCGGACCTGTCCCATTGCCGTTCCTAATCATCATATATCAATTACCATCCTATTATATCAGGGTGATACGGAGTGCTACATTTCGATCTTATGAACACGTTCCATCTGTGCAAAAAATTTCGAAATTCATGTTGAAAACTAGGGCTGGCTATTTGGACCGGGACCGGATGAAAAACCGGAAACCGGACCGTATAACCCGGACCGAGACCGGACCGGGACCGGATAGTAAACAATTCAATCCAATCTTTGGGCTTAGATTTGAGGTAAAAAACCGGATTAAGACCGGATAAGAGAGCTCAACACCCAAAACTTAAGGGTAATTTGCATAAACGGTCACAAACCTTTGCACTTAGTACAAAACTTAACCAACTCCTCACCCTTTTAGACCTTAGGCCACTCAAATTCCCACAATCTCAATATAAAATCAAGTCCGAATTGGGACCGGACCGGGTCAAGACCGGATCGGATCAAGACCGGCCTGTATCCAATCCAATCTTCCGTCCTTATATTTTCAAAAAATCCGGACTGGACCGGATCAATTTGGGCCAATTTAACCGGACCGGACCGTATAGCCACCCCTATTGAAAACAAAGGTGGTACTGAGGTGCTAAAGAGTGGTATGCAATTTTGTTTGTCGGAATATGTTGAAAATGAATCTCATTTGCATATCACGACGAACTCGTTCCATCCGTGCATAAAATTTTGAACTCCAAGTTAGAACGAAAAAGATAAGAGTCGATTAAAAAAATCAAAAAAAATAAAAAGCCATTAATTCTCACTGCTTATATCTGGATCTTTCCGGTCCCACTCAAAACTAAGGGCCCGGATTTGAACATGAAAGAGTGCAGAGTGCATAACCAAGGGTTATGCAGCTAATTGTGATAGAGATATAGAGAAGTTCGGCATAACAAAAGCTTATGATGGTATGGGTGTTTCATCGAGCAAACACATTGAGTACTCTACTCGATCGGCGTACGTACGTAGTAAACAAAAGCAGAAACCATGCCAAGCCGGCCAACAAACCTAGGTGCAGATGTTGTAAGCTGTCTCGTACCTAAAACAACAGTAGTTCTCAAACAAGACGCTCCCACTACAACAAAAACTAGCTTTTGCAACCAAAAAGTTTACAACCAAACTAAAATTGGTTGTGAAAAGGATAGTATATACAACCAATTGTATTTTGGTAGCTAAAATATTAAAAATTTGGTTATTTATTAAAGTCAAAGTATTGATAACCAAATAAAACTTGAAGAGACCAAATAATTTGGTAGCAAAATGATTTTTTACTTTTTCCAACCAAATAATTTTGGTAGCAAAATAATTTCTACTTTTTCCAACCAAATAATTTGGTAGCATATTGCTTTTTACTTTCTCCAACCAAATATTACTGGTTATGAGTTTAGGCATGAAATTTGAAAATCTTAAATAACTAAATAATTTGGTTGCGATTCCTATAAAAAAAATTCAGCAACTAAATTATTTGGTTGTCATTGTACTAATCAAATTTTAGGTAGTAAAGATGACTAACACTAAAACGTGATGCTCTTATTGAAAACATATAAAACAACAGACCTATTCAACGAAAATTAAATACAACTTACCTTTACTTTTCCCCTCTTCTCTCTCTTCCATCCTATGCAATTCCGATCCAAATTCTCCTCAAATCGATTCTGATCCACCAAATCGCCTACCAAATCGCGATCCTTCACCAATCGACTGCACAATACCATTATCTTCTTCTTCTCCATGCGCTTCGCCGAATATCCACGAAGTCCCGATCCTTCGCCAATCTCTGGTTTGGTAGCTGAAAAGAAGAAGCAAACTGCTACTCCACTTTCCAGAGGAAGCGATTTAGAAGCTTGGTTGCTTCGGTTCATCTATCCTCCTTGTCGATTCTCAGAAGGTAACTTCAGATCCGAGCATATTTTTTATTTCTCTCTAAGCCGAGCTAATTCGAGCATCTTGATCGCGGATACTTACACCGCCGCAATACATCCTCGTGGAAGGAATTTCTCCTTCGCCTCCCCGATCTCTCTCTACTGATTTAGGGTTCTGGAATTTCTAGTCGCAGGAGAATTGATCCCGCCTCCAGCTCTGGCCAAGCCCGCCTCGCACAAACTCATGGCCGCTCAAGTAAGCTCACGTCGGTTTTCCTAGTTCTTAGCTCTTCTTACAGTACCGAGTGGTTCTAGTTTAGTTCGCTTGATGATTGCGATTGTTCACGGATTTAGGTGGGGAGATCAGTTTCTTACAATGAACACAAGCCAAGAAAGTCTCCGCCAACTTGCCTTGCTGCTACAAGGGAGAATAGTGTACATCTGGAATTCTGTAAGTTGATTGAATGAGAGATTGTTTCCTGGAACTCAACTTCAATTTTTTCAATTAATTGCTGCCATGTGCTTTGTGTCTTTGCTTTGTATTCCTTGAAATCAACTTCAGCAGAATAGTGGAAAAGGCTACAATAAACTCCACAGGGACTATTCTGGTGATGGTGAAATAGTAAGGATCCATTCTCAGTAGAACTATACAATGGAATGGGCTGGTTTATTTCGTGAGTGCAATGAGACTAAATATACGTGCTTATTCAATCGATATATCGTGATGTCCTCAGTTTAATTCGCTCGTATGAGCAAGTGGCAGGTAGCATGTATGGGTTCATTGTAGTATATATTCTCGATCCTGTTTGTGTTGCTTCATTTAGTAACAGAGACATGGTAGGATTTGACATGTTTTATATTTGTTGCTTTTTGTCCTACATTTTCGTTCAACAGATGTGGGAGGGCCGAGTTTGTGCGAATACGAGAAGCTTCAATGTGAAATGTCTGATCTGCAACTCAAATACTATGAGCTTCTGGAAACTCGTAAAGTAACTCTCAAAGAGGTATTCATGAGAAATCATGCTGCACCATGCTTTGCTGTATCTATCCAATGCCAAAGAATTTGATGGATCTAGAATTTTTCTGTGTTTATGGTGTTTGGTATTAGTTGTGTTTCTTGAAAAAAGGGAAATGTACATTTATGCTTTACTATATCTATTCAGCGCAAGCAATGCCCAATTCAATTCAATTTCACGGCCATTTGTAAGCTACAGGGTCGAACCATTCCCGGAGACAAACTGCTGTTCTTGGAAGAATGCCCAACAGCAAGCAACAGATAGTGCCCTTCATAAGCTCGCAGGTATACATAGTTACATATTACTAAGTTCGGTATGCTTTATACTTTCGTGCCTTTTACCGTGTTGAGGGTCAAGTATTCAACATTAATGTTCTGGTGCAGACAAGTATATAACATACAGTACACCTCATTCTGGACCAATAGAGAAAATGGATATTGGGTGCGAGAAGACATTTGATTCCATGAGACCGCGGAGGACTGAAGTGGGAAAACAGAGAGGTAAAATGCCTTCTCCATTAGTGATCAATCTGAATGGAGATCTGCCTCATGGATGATATCTATCTGACTTAGTAAAATAATTTTGGAGTCCATAAGTTAGACATGTTTGGATTTTAGATTTTATCATTAATTTTCAGTTGTTGGATTTGGGAGTTAATGGCTTTACTGTCAAGAACAAAGGCTGGCATACCACTCAACGATGAATCTTCCTTTAGCCCCCACATTATCTGTTTCTGTTTAATCTTTGCAAAGTAGGGTTCATATGAACTTTCTCTGCTAGCAGGGGCAGAATAAATAGCCTACTGGTCATCACCAGTGGCTGGCATAAAAGATGCATTTTAGCAGATACCATGCTTCGTGGCCAATCCATTTGCAGGTTTAAAAGCATTATGTAGCTTTTGGTCCTCTTCATAAGGATATGATAGAGTTGAATGATGAACTATTGTATGTTCCATAAGATCTTCACCAAGCAGTTGCATGCTTTCGGGGATTTGTTTTCATGATCCAGCCAATCAGAGATTTGTTCTTCTCTCTGACAGGTTTGTTGGTTCACTGCTCTTCCTTTTCTCATGCCATTGCATTTATTAGTATGTTCTTGTAGTTATGTATTCTGATATTTTTGTCCTGCAGCTGTGTACCTTCGTACGACTTCAACTGTACTTACAACTACATAATGTCCTCCCCCAAGAGACTCTTTGACAGGTAGATGCACAAACTCATTCCATTTTTGTGCTCTTGTAACATTTTAGGTAGGACTTTATTTCTTTTGTGACAAAAGTTTAAGTTTCCATTGTCTGTTGCGAGCTACTGCAGTTTTGCTGAGGAAATAAGTAGCCGTTCGTCAAACAATTTTTATAGATAGTGCAACAGTTCATAGATTAACTAAAAACATTAGCATTAAGGTTTCATGAATTCAAATTGAAGTGGACAAGTTATTATAATATTATGTATGAATTTACTAAGCAGTGGGTTACTTTGGTGAGAAAACAGGTTGAATTTGTTGTTAATGACAATTTTGTCCATCCCATCTTCAAAAAACTTAACCTTTTTTACAACACTTGTGAAGTTGATAGCCCTTGAAGTTGTGATAACTAACACGGGAATGGTTTCTATGTGTTCTCAGGTTGCAATTGAGACATCATCTTTAAGCAGTGGGTTGCTTTGGTGAGAAAACATGCTGAACTCCATCTCCTTTGCAGGCAATGCACGAAGTAGGATTCAACAAAGAAAAACACAGAGGTTTCGAAGCTTTCAGCCCAAAACTTATTCGTGTCATTGTGATTTTTGAAATAGTGGGCTGATTCTCAGTGGTAACATTATGTAATTGTGAATTTTGGTTACTAACCAATAAATTGTGTACTTGTAATTTTGGTTACTAAATTTTTTTGTTATATGAAACAATTTTTTTATTATAATTCTATTTAATTTTAGTATTTTCATTTTAGTGACCAAATTAGCATCAATCAAATTGGTCATTTGAAATGATTGTTTTGGTCGGCTTATGTGTTTTTAGCAACCAATTTTTATGGTTGTATTTGAACTTTATTACTAAAATTATTGGTCACCAAAATGTTTTAATTGGTTGAGGTATGTGTTTTTCACGACCAATTCTTATGGTTGTGTAACACTTTTATAACAAAAATAGTTAGTTGTCTAAAATGATATGGTTGGTTGGCATATATATTTTTCACGACCAAATTTCATGGTTGTGCTAAACTTTCATAACCAAAAAATTGGTTGTCACAATAATATAATTGGTTGACATATATTAATTTCTCGACCAAATTGAATGGTCACCTATAAAACAAAAGTAAATTCTATTTGCATCCAAAAAAATATGTTACTAATAGTCATATCAAATTGGTTGTCATTTATAGGTTTGGCGACCAATCAACTACATTTCACAACCATTAGGTTGGACTATGACAACCAAGTTAAAATGGTCGCGAAAAATTAAAGGTTTTTTACCATTGGCAAAATTGGTTGCGATATCTTTCTTTTCCGCTACCAATCACTATTTTGGTTGCGTTAGGTATTCGTAACGCGGATATAGCGACCACTTCTGCAGCCAAAAGATTTTGTTTGCAAAAAAGTATTAATGACCAATTTTGGCCTTTTAGTGACCAAATTTATTAGTTGCAAATAGCGTTTTTTCTTGTAGTGTCCCTCCGGCTCGGCCTTGGCACCCTTGTTCCATGCGGGTGATGCCAGAATTGAAACACAGACGGTACCTTATACCGGGCGTGACGTCGCAGGTAAAAGAGGCGTACACTGTGTACGGGTTATGATCCTCATCAACGTACTCTCTCGTGTAGCAACCGGTTCTGGTGCCTCTGTCGAATTGTTTGCTCCGAAAACCATCGAAGATGTCTTCCAGCTGAAAGTTACCCGCCGGCAAAGGATCTGGGCTGCACCTCCCTTTCTCGTCACTTCCCGAGCATAACGTAGCATTGAAGCAGCTTACCATGCAGCACATGGTGCAAATCGCTAGCAGCAGGGTTATTACCATCATCGCTGCGACTAACATCCTCGCCATTTGAACATAACGTATTTACGATGTGCTTGTTTATTTATATAGTAACTGTTAAGTGTAATTGGGCCTTAGCCCACCCATATGTCGGCAGTATGGGTCTCCTAGGGTTAGCCGAGAATTGTCTAGGGTTTGTGCCCTAGTTTGTATATATATCGATGTAATGGAACCTGTTGAAGCTAAGCTGAATAAGAGATACAAATAGCTTCGGCCGTGGACTAGTCTCGTTCATACTGAACGAGGAAACCACGTAACTCTGTGTGTCAATTTACGTTTCTGTTTCGATATTTCTGTTTCGATTAACATGGTATCAGAGCCTATGTCGTCTGAACAGATCACCGCACGTCTCAACTCCAAGAATTATGCTGTATGGGAGTTTCAGTTTCGTACATTGATTGAAGGGAAGGGCCTGTTAGGATGGCTTGATGGAACGGTGGTTCGACCGACTTCACCGCCGGCGACGGCGCAAGAGGTGCAACAGTGGGGCATGAAAGACGCCAAGGTCCGCACTCTCCTGCTCAACTCGGTCGACGCTACCATTCTCTTGGGCCTACGTATGCTTCCTGATTCAGCCGCAATGTGGAAGTATTTGGCGGACACCTATCGCACAGCTACGGCGTCCCGCCAATATGAGATTGAGGTAGAGCTTTCTCGCCTCTTTCAAGGAAACTTGGACGTGACTTCTTATTACAACGCAGCTCGAAATCTTTGGACCGAGCAAGATCTCGTCATGGCGTCCCTTCTCACGTCGGCTGGGTCGGCAGAAGTCAAGGAGGCAAGGGAGAAGATGCGACTGATGCAGTTCTTGATGCGCTTAAATCCTGAATATGAAAACGTCCGCGCAACGCTGCTGAATCATGACAATCTGAAGATTGAAGGTGTCTTGGGGTCTCTAATTCAAGAGGAAACCCGGCTACGCACGCAAGCTGCGTTGGATGCTCGACCCGGCGCCGGCGAAGGGGTCTTCAGTGTCGCGCCTGGTCAGCTCCGACCACCGTCTGTTGCTGCTGCTGCGGCGAGTACTGTAAAATAACTGAAGTGCGGAAGAGAAACAACACAACCAATATAACGTGGTTTCCCCGTTCGGTGTGAACGAGACTACTCCACGGAGAGCTCCACAAGAGCTCTCGACTGAACTTTTATTATGAGCTTCTTGCTCTCTGCAACTCACGGCCAACTACAGTGCTAACCTAGCACTTATATATATAGCATATCCCTTTACAACGTGAACAACTAGGGTTAGCCTAACTAGGTGAATTACAATTTCACCACACAACTAATTAAAGTGTGACAACTAAGGACAATCGGTTAAGTGAGCCGAATTGCCTCTCAACACTCCCCCTCAAGCGGAGGCGTGGATATCATGCATTCCGAGCTTGGAAGCAAGGAAGGCGAACTGATCACCACCCAAACCTTTGGTAAACACGTCCGCCACTTGATCGCCAGTCGCAATCTTCCTTGGGTCTATCTCTTTTGATGCTACACGTTCCCTGACAAAATGACAATCCATTTCAACGTGTTTTGTACGTTCATGGAAGACTGGATTCGCAGCAATATGCAGCGCTGCTTGATTGTCACAATATAACGGAGTAGGCTCCTCTGAATGTACTCCCAACTCCTGCAATAACCAACGTAACCATATCAACTCACTAACAGTGACAGCCATCGACCTATACTCCGCCTCAGCCGAAGACCTTGCTACAACTGCCTGTTTCTTCGTGCGCCACGATACTGGGCTATTCCCAAGTCGTATGAAATACCCAGATGTTGACCGACGAGTTTCATGGCACCCTCCCCAGTCAGCATCGCAATAAGCTGTCAAGGTGGAACTACTACTTGCTGACAAAAACAGACCTCGCCCAGGAGCACTCTTTAAGTACCGTAAAACTCGATATGCTGCCTCAACATGCTGCTGTCTGGGTGAGTGAACTGCCTGGCTCAATATGTTGACTGCATATGTGATGTCAGGCCGAGTTACTGTCAAATATAAAAGCCTTCCAACAAGTCTCCGATACGCTGATGGATCGTGCGCTGCCGGACCTTCTACACGAGTAAGATGGTGATTCTGTTCAATGGGAAAAGAACACGGTTTAACAGCAAGAGCACCAGCATCATCCAGAATGTCCAATACGTACTTTCGTTGAGACAATGAGATCCCATGCTTTGACCTGGCCACCTCAATTCCCAAGAAGTACTTTAATGGTCCTAAGTCCTTAATGCTGAACTCCTTCTGCAGAAAAACCTTCACCTTCTCAATAACCTCCCAACTGTCTCCCCCTAGGACGATGTCGTCCACATAGATGAGAGCGAAAACAAATACTCCATTTTCCCGATACAAAAACAATGAGTGGTCAGCTCGGGAACAGCTAAAACCAAACTGTAACAGTGCCTCCGTAAACTTCTTGTACCAATTTCTGGATGCTTGGCGTAGCCCATAAAGTGATTTGCGAAGACGACACACACGTTCATCCCCCGGTCGAGCAAATCCTTCCGGAACCTGCATGTATACTTCCTCGTCAAGATCACCATGGAGAAACGCGTTATTGACATCCAACTGCTGAAGAAACCACCCGTGCTGAGCTGCAAGAGCCAGAACACAACGAACAGTAACCAACTTGGCAACGGGAGCGAAGGTATCGTGAAAGTCGATCCCTTCCCGCTGCGTATATCCCTTCGCAACCAAACGAGCCTTGAAACGCTCGATGCTACCGTCAGGACGGTATTTAATTTTGAAAACCCATTTACATCCCACAAGCTTGGCGCCAGGTGGCAAAAAGGCTAGCTCCCATGTCCCATTAGCGACAAGGGCATCAAATTCCTTCTGCATGGCCTCACGCCAGCATGCATGCAGGACGGCATCAGAGAAAGTGCGTGGCTCCACCATGCGTGTGATTGCTGCAACAAAAGCATGGTAGCTAGGGGATAAATGATCATAACTTAAAACATCATCAAGTGGATATTTAACACAGGAATGAGCAGTAGGTAACGTGACCTCATAAACATCATAACGACGAGGCAACTGACGAGGTCGGTCACGACGATTCAGCTCAACAACAGGGGATGGCGGTGAACTGTCGCCAGGCGGCGAACCGAGTGGAGAAGAATCCGGCGTCGACGAGGCTGGGGACGCGGAATCCGACATGGGCGAACTTGGAGAGGCCGTGGCATTGCTGGGAGGCGAGCTGGGCTCAAGGACAGCTCCTGTGGTAGGAGAGTCAAGAGGCGCATCGTCGCCAGCGCGAGAAAAAGAAATGCCATCGTCGTCTCCGGGATCATGACTATGATCATCAAACGAGAACTCAGGAGCAACTGGTGGTAAGGAAATGCTGCGGGAGGGGTTTGGTGAGGCGAAAGGAAACTGATCTTCACAAAACACTACGTCCCGCGACGTAAAAATGGACTGAGTATCCAAGTCAAAGACACGGTAACCCTTCTGCGTCGCAGGGTACCCAACAAAAACACATGCCCTGCCCCTTTCAGCAAACTTATCAAGGGAAGAGTGAGTATCTTTGGCAAAAACCAAACAACCAAACTTCCTAAGATGGGTGTAACTCGGTTGCCGACCAAAAAGACGCTCAAAAGGGGTATCATTGGCGGTCACTGATGACGGTAGCCGGTTGATCAAGTATGCCGCAGTAAGAACGCACTCCCCCCAGAATTTAATGGGCAAGTGGGCATGAAACCTGAGAGACCGAGCGGTTTCCAGCAAATGTCGATGCTTCCGCTCCACCACGCCATTTTGTTGTGGCGTGTCTGTGCAAGAGGTTTGTAAAACAATACCTTCCTCCTCGTAGTAACGACGTAGGGCGTTAGTTTGGAACTCCATTCCATTGTCAGCCTGGATACGAACGACTGAATGACCATACTGACGTTGTGCTTGCTTACAAAACATGGTCAAGTAACTAGCAACTT